GGCGGCGGCGGAGGCGGGGGGGGCTGCGCCTGGGGCTGCGGCGCCTGAGGAGACGGCTGAGGGGGCTGAGGCGGCTGAGGCGGCGGTGCCTGCTGCTGCTGGAAGGACTTGAGAGACTCGAAGGCCTTCATCAGCTTTTCCAGGGTCGCCATGGCGCCCTCACGCCTGGCGGGGCAACCCCCGGATGCCTCGGGCCGGCTCACGCCACGCGGCGCCGCTCAGCAGAGGGGTAATGAATGGGGCCCAGGGCCGTAAGCAAAAGCGGAAAGGCCCCCGGCCATCTTGGGCCCTTCCCGGCAGCCCCCACGGCGGCGTACGTCCCGCGCCGCTGCGCCGCAGGAGGCGGGGCCGGGCCTGCGAGACTGACAGACAGGCGGCAGCCTCATCCAATGGCCCGCGGAGGCGCTACCCTGCGCCCGCCCCCGCACGTTCTCCTCTTACGGCCACCGCCCCGCTGAGATCGCAGGCCCCTCCCGAGCAAAGGCGCAGGTTTGAAGGTAGAGGGCGGGGCAGGAGAGAGGCGGGGCGCTGCCTGAGAGGCAGGGGGGGGAAAGGGCGGAGCGGGAAGAGGAAGAGGAGGAGCCAGGCTGGGAAAGGCCGGGGTGAGCCGCGAAAGGGGCGGGGCGAGAATGGGAGGGCTGGCTGTGGGCGGGGCGATGGGACGAAGGCGGATCCTAGGCGGGGAGGCGAGACCAGGAGTGGTGGAGGGGGCAGGGTTAACGGGGAGGGGCGGGAAGCAACTGGTAAATTACGCACATTATACAACTCCTTATTATTTTTTTTTAAGTTTTTTTTTTTCCCCCGTACCGGGAACCGAACTCATGACCTTGCGCTTGCCAGGCAGGCGCTGTGCCGCTGAGCTAAATCCCCAGCCCCACAACTGATTATTAAAAGGTTAGCTAAGGGATGTTTTGGGAGGTTCGGAAAAGAATGCATTAAGGGTAGTTCCATTATTTCTTATGGGAAAAATAGTCTTGATTTACAACCATCTTGAGTTACCACCGGCCCTTGTGAACGAATTGAGTTCATAAGTCAGGGGCCCACCGTAGAAGGTGAAACCCTGACATGTGTGTTTCGCAGTAATGTGATTAAATTAGTGCTAATGGGTCTGAATTCCTTTCTTGGTACTTCTACAGCCTCTCGAGCGGCTGTACTGGATTAGTGATGTGTTTCCCCAGATAGATGTATCCCTTGCTTAAATTTGTTTCTGTACTTTTCAAGCTTTGTTCAATCCCTTATTGATATTCTGTATTGTTTTAGTACTGCTTACTATGTTCAACTGTTACGCATTTTATAAAATTAAAAAAATGTAACATGATTGACTGTACAACAACCTACTTCAACTCACACCATACGTTCTGCTGACCATCGGGCCAAATGTCAGGACAAGGGTTAAAAGTGATGAGCATTAGTGAAATGCGGTTGTTTGCTGAAATGACCTTGGCTGCTGCCTTTCAGCAGAGAAACGCTATTTCCTCTGGGAAATACAGAGGCTATCTGTTATATACAGATAGCCTCGAGTGCATTGTGAGAGTGTTCTTGGTTTCAGCCAGACTCCAAGACACTCTGCTCTAAGACACACAGGCCTGTTGCCACCAAGTCCCTTTTGTCTGAACACTGTACTTAAGGAACTAACAAACCAGGTATGGTGTTGGCATTTTCTCTCTCTCCTGTCAAAGGCTCCATCTATACAAGATCCCTTTCTCTTTGGTCCCCTTCCACATCCTATGGTAATATATCATCTGATAATATTTATATCTGCTATAGTATTATAATCGACTTACTGTCATCTTTTTAAAATCATTCTGTGGCTCTTTTCTGTTTATACAGGGCTGAACCACAACTATATGTGGCTCCTCTATTACATATCCAAAGTTCAGGTCTATGACACAGAGAAGGCTGACAGCCACCAGCCTTCAAAGGAGCAGCACTTGGCCAGTTCATGATTTCCATCTGAACTGAGCAAAAGAACCCTCAGCTAACTGGTGACCCTGGTATCTGGTTGCTCCCCTGTAAGAGGCCCAGGAGTAAGGGTCCCAGGTAAGCTGGGCCAGGATTCCTAAGCCACAGAGGCCAGGCAGTCATGAACATGTGTTTTTGGGGTGGTGTGTAACAAAGCAACAAATAAATATACTGGTTTGTTTGGGTGGCCCTGCCCATGAAGTACAGCCTGGGGCTTCAGCAGCAAAACTTTATGGTCCTGCCAGGCGTGGTGACACAAGCCTGTAATCCCAGCACTCAGGAGACTGAGGCAGGAGGCTTGCTGTGAGTTTGAGACCAGCCTGGGC